CTATCCAACTGAAACTCGGGTGATGAGAATCCTTCCTTATTTGGTAAATTTTGACACTACCACAAACGAAAGAATCAAATCCATTTTCCAATATTGCTATCAATGGAAACATATAAACAACAATTTTCACAAATGCCATTGTAAGGAAACTTAAAATAAAATAAAATCAAAAAATTTTCTTAATTTATAAAAGTGCGGAAAACTTGTCCTTACAACGCAAATACAAATGAAAACTATGTTGTTATCTATTCCTAAGCAATCTATTATAACTCTTAAGTAGCAGCTCAAAATTCTGATCATCGAATCATGCGATAGAAATCCATCCCTTCACGATCAGAGTCAACTTACTCTTCCTTTAAGCTTCCTTTCTTTTCTTCGATCCTACAAAACATCAAAATGTAATTACATTACATCATGTATAAAGAATCTCCAAATAGAAACTTAATAGAGTTAGATAGTGGACTCACCTGAAGTAGAGTCAAACATTTTGACTTTACCATCCTTGCAATCTTTCAGGTAAATATGGCAGCTTCGCAACCAGTGCCCCTTCTCTTGGCAATAGAAACATATGGACTATATGGGAATGGTACACGGGACTATCTCAAACTTAGCCTTTCTCTTTACCATTTGGTCAAATGACTGGACCATGGCCGATCCATTTTCATTGGGAACAAAAAGCTTTTCTGGACTTCCAATGTTTCCATTGTCAATGTCCATGGAAGTTTGGGAAGTAGATCTTCCAATCAAATTTGCTTTACCAGTGCGCCAAATCATTGCTGATTGAGCCGCAATTAGGAAATAGGTAACATCGATAAGGGTTATGTCATGGTCTTTAATATAGTAGTCCTTAATGAACTCACTATATAACTTAGGGAATGACTAAAGAACCAAGTCAACATCCATCTTCCTTGAGACATCGACTCCTAACATTCCCAGCCTGTCAATGTGTGACTTCATCTCCAAGACATGTGCACACATAGACCTTCCATCTTGGTGTTTGCTACCCAATAGGGCTTGAGTGACCTTGAACTTTTCAAGTCTTTGAACTTGTAGGTTAAGGAGAATTATTGGAGGAGGTGGAGGAAGTGAAGCATGATTTCCATTTCCACGATCAAATCGTGGAACATCATCTTCAAGAGGAAAGCTTATTCCAAAAGATTTGGGAAGACCATAGCTGTCTGAACTAGACGTCTACAAGGGAGAAATTCAAGTTAGTTGATTTAAGTCCTTAATATAACACCCAAATGAAATATTAAGGCTAGGACCCAACACAATATTTTACAATTCGGAAGAGGGATGCCGTAATCCAATTAGAAAATATTTGAAGGTAGGTAAATGACGATTTACCAATTTCCACCATGAAAAATGAAATTGATTATTAAGTTTTAATTGGATTGAAATTCCTAGATCCTTTGAGATTCATTAAACTTTTCAATGGTATGTTTAAATCTCGATTATGCCCTTCAAGTTTGTGATTGGGATGCCGAGGATCACAAACAAGGTGTGAATAACCATGCAAATTAGCTTGGTACACTTAATGTCACAAATCACCTAATCAATGTGTTGGTTAACCAAACACGCTCCATTGATCTATGATTAACATCAAGCTACCCTTTGTCATGCACTGTTAGTCCCAGATTAGTGTGCCGATTAACCACACAAGCTCCACTAACGACTTAACAAGGTGCAAAGTGCAATTTCATGGGATAACACCATATTCACATTTTTCCTAAAGTAACTAAGATTGAGAATTTAATAAAAGTTTAGTTACTTTATAATTATCATTATACTTATAATGAGAATTAGTGTCGTATCCTACCCGTTCGGCTAACGACCCTCCACAAGTCAAGGAAGCGGTGGGTGAGAGTGGACACCCATTAAACCACCATTTTATAGGCAGTAACCTTATACCCCCTTATAGACCGGCTTCGTGAATGAGGCCTACTAACGGTAAGACTGACTTGTCTTATACATATATATAATTATTAAACTTTTAATATTATAATAGTATAAGGGTGTATTTTAAACTTTTAAAATACTAGATGGTTTAATCTGATAATAAATTATACTCTTAATTTAATTAAACTTAAACCATGTCATTATGGAATTATTAATCTCTTTTAATTAAACACTTTAATTAATTTAATAAAGTCCATAAGGTGTAATTTGAACTATTCAAAAACATCAAGGTTCTAAATAAAAAATTCAAAATTAAAAACTATTTAATAATTTTTTTTTTAATTTATGAACTCAAGAGTTACACCTTTTAATTACAAGAGTTTCTTAAATTGAGACTTTTCAAATACCAAAACTTGAGGGCAAGTTTTGTAACTCTTGAAAACTTTTCATTTCCATAACTTATGAGTTTAATGGTTTTAAAGCATGAGGTTTTTCATTTTCCATAACTTGAGGACAAGTTATGGAATTCTTTAAAAAAAACATTTAGATAGATTATTTAACAATAAAAAATTATCATATAGTTTATCTTTGATCTAGCTAAACTCATAAAGCAAGATAATATCAAATCAAAAATTTACAAGTAATTTTGTTTATCATATAAACCAACAATTATCTTAAAATTTTGACAATTATCTTTTAATTAAGATGAGGATAATTATTTTACATAACATAAAAATCAAATTTTTATCAACAAAACATTTTATAGTAATTATCCAAATCCAAATTAAGCCAAGAAATACGAAATCTTCCATCAGGTCCATCAACACCTCGTGGTAACTTTTACCACCTCGTGGTGATCATGCAGATTCCAAAAAAAAAACGATTTTTCAGCTTTGAAAAATAACCAAGCATCAAATATAATAGAAAACAACCCATGGCTCTGATACCACTGTTGGGTTTTGTATACTACAACATCCTATGGTGCACATACAACCCTAAAAGCTTTGGATCTATGTTTTCTCTAATTATACATGCAATATTGTTTCAAAAGCTTGAAGCCTACAACTAGCATACCGTTGATATAAATAACATAGAATTGAGTTATAGAGTTACCTCTTTGTTGTAGCTTGTAGTTTTGGCCTTTAAGAACTTGGCACCCCAAGTGTGATGCCTCAAACGGTTCACAACACACCTTGGACAAAGGAGAACTTGAGAGAGAGGCTACTTAGCACACAAAAGCGTCCATCACTCTTTTTCGAATGCATGGGGACGATTTTGGTGACTATGGGTTCCTTTTATAGTGTGGCAAAGACTAGGGTTACATCCATGCAACCCCTAATGCACCATGACCTTTCATATTACTTAGGCTCCATGGGTTAAACCTCCATGGACTACCATATTGGTTTAGCCCATCCTAAATAACAATTAGTCCACACTATAAGAATCATTGATTTATCAAATCAATCCCCATATATTTAATTAGTCTCTTTTGATCACTAAATTAATTTCAAATTAATATTATTGATCAATACTAATTAAATAATATGATTTCATATTAATATATTAGAACTTATAATATATTAATAAATCATAAGTAACCTCTTACTCAAGTATCCATCCTATCAAATTGTTCTGCTGATATGCAACCCGAAATGGATCATGCTACTCTCGGGTCAAGTACATACCAATTATAGTTATGAGCTTAGACACCTAATCCAACACCACATACATATGGGGTGTGCGCCGTGCGCTTCTGCGAGGTGGCTCTCCCCGGCTCGTGCCACGTGTCGCGATATCGGTGGTCCACATACGCCTCTTCTAGAAGGTGTCGCGTGTCACATTCCTATGGTGTCATGTGTCACAACCTTGTGGAGCCACGTCACCATGTCTCTCAGAAAGTTTAGCCGCCGACATTGCCATCTGGCGCTTTCTCGCGGTGCTACATCATCGCGCGCGCCACACACCTCGCGCTCTTGATTTTCTAGATTTTTAAAATGGCGTAACTTCTTCAAACGAGCTCTGTGTTTGACATTCTTTATATCCCCGGAAAGCTCTCGACGAGATCTACAACTTTCTTTTAGACCTCAACATCTAATTATTAGTTTATCAAAAATATATATTTTTGATAGGCTTAGGGTGTTAGAAATCGCTGTAAAAAGTGTAACTCCTACATACGGACTCCGCTCTTGATGTTCTCTATATCAACGGACTCCTATTGACGAGATCTTCAATTGTCGTTTAGATTATTTTTCCTAATAACCTACAGTTCCAGAATTCGATTTTTCTGTCTGCACTGAAATTTCGAAAAATCAAAACTTACTCTTACAAAGTCATATTTGAAAAATGCAATCCATGTATGGATGTCCACTTTTGCCTATATAATCGGCCCATAATACATCTAAAAATCCAAACCAATTGAAAATCGAATTAGTTTAAAAACCAATCTTGTGCACTTCTAGAAACAGAATAGTAGTTGATTAACTACTAATATTACTTATTTTGATTGGTAAGATGCTAAATGTGAAAAATATCATTTGCAATATGAAAATAAAAAGATTATGCCCCTAATTCCTTCAAAATGTATGTACTTCACAAGCTTTTATTTCCATTCCTAATAATATCCTGATGATTTTTATGAATTGTTATATAATCTTGCAACATACTATGTGTCTATGTTATATATGTAATTGTCACGTACATTGAGACTGAAAACTATCTGTGTTGGTCAAACGGAAAAGAAAAAATAATAACCGTGAAGTAAGGACTGAAATTACAAAACAAAAATCTTTTTTGGACCTGAAAAACTAAAAATGCAAACCTAATGGTACCAATTTGTAATTTATTCTATAATTAGTAAGGTCGACGTAATCAAATTATCAAATTTTGAAATGCCCCATCATACATACCGTGGTTCCCGGGAAATTCCAAAGGTAGCCGCAATTCTGCCGTCACCATCATCCTTTATGTTCCCTCGTCATCCCACCTTAATTGTCCTTCGCCACCGTGCAACCACCATCATTCATCATCCTCACCCAATATATAATACTATATATATCTAACCGATTCACTTCCTCAATTTGCTGCAATCAAACACCCAAACAATGGCTCTCTCCATCTTCTTCGCTTTTCTTTTCATCTCTCCTTCGTTTTCAGCTTTTGTTGCTCCAATAACAAAACGTCATGTCCAGACGACTCCGTTTTACATACTAAAGCTTCACCTCAAAACCCCTCTGCAACCCACCGATTTGTTGCTTCACGTCGGCGCCACCTTCACCGCCGTAGACTGTACCCGTAACTACACATCCACCACTTTTCACCCCGTTCCCTGCAACTCCTCTCTTTGCCACTCCCTCCAATCCAACTGCGATATCAACACCGGGAAGACCGTGGATCCCGGTGGCTGTGTCATTCTACCTCACAACTCGTTCGCCCATGTTGACTCGCTCGCTTTACCGACCACCAACGGGCGGAACCCGGGTCAACTCGGCGTGTTCCACGACTTCGTTTTCACTTGCTCCGACGAGTCGTCACGGTTACTGCAAGGTCATGCTAAAAAAGAGGTTACCGGTTTAGCAGGTTTCGGGTTTTCCAAGTTTTCACTCCCAGCTCAGGTTAGCACCGCCGCAGCCTCGTCGGTGTTTGCACTGTGCCTTTCCGGCTCGCCGTCGGCTCCCGGCGTCGCGTTCTTCGACCTGATCAAACCTTACTATTTCTTGCCGGGAATTGACGTCTCCGAGCATCTCAACTACACACCAATCTTCTCATACCCTGTCGAAATCACCACCAGAAAAACCAACACCAAACGCTACGAAGATCCTTATTTCATCGGAGTTAAGTCAATCAACGTCAACGGTAAACCGATAGTAATCAACCAGAAACTTCTTTCAGTCGACAAAAACGGCAACGGTGGGACAAAGATCAGCACAACGAATCCATACACCGTGTTAGAGAGATCAATCTTCACTGCTTTCATCGAAGCATTCACGAACGAATCATCTATAATGAAGTTGAAATCAACCAAACCTATCAAGCCATTCAAGATATGTTACGAAGCGAACAATGTCTTAGAGACCCATTTGGGGCCAAACGTACCCGCAATTGACCTTGTGATGCAGAATGATGTAATTTGGAGGGTTTGGGGGAAGAACTCGATGGTGAGGATTGTAGAGGAGGGTGTGGACGTATGGTGTTTAGCCATTGTTGATGGAGGTGTTCGACCCACTTCGTCAATGGTGATCGGAGGGCATCAATTGGAGGACAATTTGCTGCAATTTGATTTACGGGCAAAAAGATTAGGGTTTAGTTCTTCACTTTTGCAACACAAGACAATGTGTGCTAATTTCAATTTCACTACCATCTAACTCTTTTTAATTATTAGTCTAATGACCATTTTATTTATAAATAAAAAAATATTTTAAGATTTCAAGAACAAAAATTTGGTTTAGTACCTATTTTAGTATTTTGAGTTCGGATAGATTTGTATCAATTTCGTCATGTAGCTTATCGAATATTATAATTTTAGTCGAAGTTTTTGATTTGTTTCAAATTTGTCTCTATGATTTTCAATTTTTGCATAATCGGCCCCCCTCCCATTGAAAAGTTTGTATAAATTTTGTGAGCACGTTATCAAACTTTACGATGATATATATTTATGAAAAACTACACACAATGATATTGAAAAGTTGTATGTTGCACATCAAGAGAAATATGGTTTTTTCGGAATGATAGGGAGAATCGATTGGGTACCTTTGGTTCAATCTTTGTGTGCATTCCCACAACATCAAAGTTCCAACTTTGTATGCATTTAAACATGTATCGCAAACTTGTGGTTTTTCTTAGTGGTATTTCGATAGAAATTGATGAGTTATGTTCATCTATGGTAGATGATGACAACAAACTGTTGAAAGATGGTAGTATGGATGCCATAGTAGATTGAGCAACATTTCCTTGTTCCTGCCATTATCATTGATTGTAATATCATCGAACCTTGTGTCTTCTCTGGTCCATGTCAAATCTTCGCCAAACCTTACTTCTAACTGATAATGACATTCATGTTGATTGGCTTATATAACTTATATGCTTTAAACTACTCAATGTATCCAACATATATGGTTTTTTTGTTCATCTAGATTTCCTCCTTTTTTATAATGAATATGTGGAAAAACCAATCATCCAAACACCCTTAAATGTGAGACTCATGGTTTGATCTCACTTCAAACTTCTTAAGGAGTGACACCAGATAGAATACGCGTATGAACACGGTTTAATAAATGCGATGCACAATTAACTATATCCGAGAAACTAATATTGGATAATTTTTTTCTTTTAAGCATACTTTTCGTTATTTCCATGATTGTTTTGTGTTTTCTTTCTGCCACCACACTTTGCAGGGGAGTGAATATCATTTTCTTTCAACAAATCTTGAAAAATCGTGTGAGTTGTATTCCCACCACAGTTTGGTCTCAAAGATTCAATGACATGATCATTTTGTTTTTCGACTCTTGATTTGAATGCTTTAAACGATTCAAATATTATTGACTTTTCTTTGTAGAAGTAAACCCATATTTTCTTTTGGAATTCCTAAGTCGAGTAGGACACAAGGAACTTCAAGTTTAGTAGGGCACAAGCAAGTTGGATTGGCCATACTTTACGAAAGTTAGTTTCCTTTTCTAATTCTATAAGTTGATAGGTTATACTATATATACATACCGAGTTCCTGGAATATATGATTAACACAATCATGTGTAATTGAGTTTTGAGTGATTTTCTTAATAAAATTGAAGATTTATTTTAGTTGTTGCTTTTGTTTTAATTATTTTGATCTTTGTTTTTTATCTTGAATCCGTATCATAGATATTAAAGATCGAAACATATAGAAAATCTCAAGGTTAAGATCCTCACCTCCTATCTTACTTGTTGAACAAGTTGGTCAACATGGGAGACGATGCAAGCAAATATAGTGCACCTCGTCAAGGGACAAAGAGGTGGGGAGAACCTCTTTACAATGCCTAATGCTCACGTCCACAAATTACATTATGTGGGCGATGAGGATAGTCTTGCGAATTCACAAGGCATGGAGCGTGATTGATCCGGATCGGAAGAGAATGCTGCGAAGGACGACTTGACATTGGGATTATTAAATAAAGCGATGCCGGAAGACTTGATCATGCAAATCGATGATCAAGAATCATCCAAAGACCTTTAGGACGCAATAAAGGTAAGACACATAGGAGCAGATCGGGTAACAAAAGCCCATTTACAAACCTTAATATCTGAGTTCTATAGGCTCAAGATGACGGAGTCCGAATCAACTGATGAATATGTCGAGAAGTTGTACGGAATAGCTTCTAAGTTAGCAACGTTGGGAGAAACGATCGAGGAAAAAAAAGTTATGAAGAAGGTTCTTAAAACCCTACATCGAACCATGTCCATACACATAGTCCCTTTTATAATCATCACCCTTATTGCAAGCCTATTGAGGTATCAAGTTCATACCTTGACTTGTAAATGCTTAGATCTTTTCATATCTTAGTTTTTATGCTTTTGGTCCCTTTTTGGGTTAGTTTGAGGAGTTGGGACGTTTTAAGAACTTATTCTTTTAGATCTGAGCTTGTTATGGACTCCTTAAGCATAATAGCGCAAGCTTTATGGGGTATTGGGTCTCATGCATGCATTAAGTCACATATTAAGTCCTTTTTTAAGCTTAAGAGCTTCATTTAGCCATGCATGAACGTAAAGTAGCAACTTTACATGATAATCCAGCTCAAGGATGTCAGATCTACGTTTTGGAGCAATGTCTTAAGGGATTAAGGGTTAAATGTAAAGGACGGATGAATAAGAGGAGTACGTTGGGCATACAAGCTAGTACGCACAACGTACAAGCCCTAAAGTATGAGCGATTAACGTACAGTTGAGTACGCCCCGCGTACTCAGTCTGATTGGGCTTTGAGTTCGGGCTATTCTATTGGGCTTAGATGCTTGGGGTCTTGTTGGGCCATTTGAATGCAAGTGTTTGGATTAGGAAAAATTAGTGGGCCTTGGGGTAAGGCTCATGTAAGGGTTTGGGCCCAATTTGGAAAATTGGGCCATGTTTGGGCCTTGGAGGTTTAGTTGGTTTTTGGGCCTTTTGGATTATGAGTTTGGGCCTTAGTTTTGGACCAAACTAGGTAAGGGGTAAAATGGTCTTTCTACCCTAAGTATGGATTGATGGTTATAGACTGGAATCCAATTATTAACTGGGTGTTATTTGATATTGATAGCTCGGGGATTTATCGGACCAGTAGCCAGGGATTATCAGTTTGATTCAGCAGTGTGAGGTGAGTTTCCCTCACCATGTTTAGCGGGTCGAAGGTACCAATGCCGACCCATGATCTGTTATGTTAGAATACTCGTTGTTTGTGGGACACTGGTATGTATGTATGCTTGTATGCTTGTTGGGCGAGGCCCGATAGTTATTTTGTATGTTGTTACCTGATATGCTTACATGAACTCTATGTGGGTAGGGCCCGTTATGCGAGATAGGGCGGGGCCCGTTATACTAATTGAGCGGGGCCCGTTATGCGAGTTAGGGCGGCGCCCGTTATACTCAGTGGGCGGGGCCCGTTACACGAGTTAGGGCGGGGCGGGCAAACACTCATTTGGGCGAGGCCCGTTATGTGTTATATGTATGCATGGTATGTGGTATCTTGGGCAAACTCACTAAGCTTTGTGCTTACGGTTTTCAGTTTATGTTTTAGGTACTTCTAGTTCCAAAGGGAAGGGCTCGGGATGATTGTAGGGCAGACACCACCTCGTTCTGCATTTTCTTGATTTACTCTGATATGTCATGATTATTGATACATTTGTTTATCTGGATTTGTATGAAAATGATTTTGGAATACTGGTTTTATTAGTTTAAAAATGAAATTTTTGGGTCTTATTTTTGGGACGTTACAAGTTGGTATCAGAGCCTTTGTTTGAGGGATTCGGACATACTATCGGGTGTGTGTGAACTCAAACTGAAGTTTTGGTAAAGTTTTTTTTCAAAAAGAAATATTCTCTTTAAGAAAAGAGTTTTTCTAATACAAGAAAGGGTGTGGTGCATGCAATCAGCCAAGCTCAAGTAAGTTTTCCCAGATTACCCATACATGTTATCTGATATGATTTGATCTTTGAATCTGTGAATTACATGCTAGTTAAGGCTAAGGATCTGCTCAATTTTTGCATGATAGAATGCTAGGATACATGCCTTTGTATGCCTATTATATGAGCTTATAGACTTGCATGCTAGTACTGATCAGTCAGTGATAGGGTGGCCTGATTAGGTGATGCTTGATTCTGGTTACTTGATGCTCAAATTCTACTTGCTTTATGCTTTTAGGAGTTCTTACTAACTTCAGCTAACTAGTAAGGGAATATGCTAAGTTACATATCATGGGAACTAAATAATTTTAGAAGGTTAGGTTTTAACTCTATTGCGCAGCTCTCGTCTGAGTCCAACCATTGTAGTGTGAGACCTTTCATTCGAAGAATTATCTGGTTTTAGTGATATGTAATTGTATTTGTGAGCTAGTTAGAGGGAGTTAGCCGGATTTCATTCTGCAGCTGATGGTAGAGAGTGGTATGGAGTTTTCCCTAGGAAAACCTAGGATGAGATCTACTGCTGGGAGTCTTATCTGTGAGGGGAAGTTGTATGGATATAAAGTTACTTGGTGGAGTTAAGGCAATCTTTGAGGAAAGTATGGATAGATGTGGAAGGTAGTATGGGCATGTACTACTGGAAGCATAGGATCTATACTCGATCCAAGGAGAGCTGCAATGAAACTACGAAGCTTGTGGAGTTGGGATCCCTCGATATATATATATATATATATATATATATATATATATATATATATATATATATATATATATATATATATCCTGATGCGTATTCCGATGGTTTATATGGTCTATTTTCATTATAGTGACATTGCGAGGAAAACCTATTGGCAGTTATGGTGCTGGTGAGGGCTCGGGATCAGGTTCTGGAGTCGGGCAGCTAGATGATCAGACGGGGGAGTTCATTACGTCTGAGGTTACACACTGCATTCTCGAGCAGACTCTTGTGATCTTCGGTACGATCAAGGAGGGTATTGTGGAGTTACTAGAGGATCATTTGGGTTCTTTCTGTACTAAGATGATGGCCTTGATGGGGGAGTTCTCCTTTTCCTTCAAGGAATTCCAGTCATGTGGAGCTCCTGATTCTCACGGGGCAAGGGACCCGATAGCGAGTCGGAGGTGGTTAGCGGACGTTGTTAACACCTTCTGCACCAGTACTTGCCCTGATGAGGAAAAGGTTAGGCTTGCCTCTTGTCTTTTGAAGGACAGGGCACGAGATTGG